CATTCTTTTATAGATGTAATGGAACACAATGATGCATAACCATTACCTAAATATGGTATAGATGTATAGATGTGAAGTTATCGGGCCCTGGAATGCCAAGAGATGCCGGCTGGGGAACCAAAAGGCGGAAAGGTGGAAAGGCGGAACGGCGGTCTTGCGGCCAACATCCGCCCCCCATCATCATCATCATCATCAGCATCATCACAATCACACTTCCTGTCTCGTCATTGCATCCAATTCCTTTTTCCTTCCCCCGTACCCTTCTGAAAAGGGAGATCGAAGATCTTTATTTCCTTAGCTGCTCAGGCGGTATGCTATTTCCAAGCCGGTTACCTTCGTCCGAATAGTGCTAGGGACACCATGGACCCATCACCGCAGGGGGGCTCGAGCAGTGTCACCGGTAAATGAGCCCCGTTTCCCGCTCGAAGTACTTGTGCTACACGCTGCTCACTTTTCACCTCGCTTTCGGCAGTCGAGTATACGGATCCCTCCGGGCTCTTCCCCGACGTCCAATCTGTCCTCGCAGAAAAACTCCCGCTCAAAAATCTCCACTGGAAATCACCAACCCGCCCTGTTCGATCCATTGAGTCCCTCCGGATCGGATTCGTTCCCGCCCAGCATGAAGCGGACGAGCAAAAGACCTCCACCGATACGACCGGCACCGCCGTGACACATCGTCGGCACCAGATACCTGGCCTGCGACAAACGCCGTACCTGAAGATCTTCCTTCTCCGATGCGACGACAACGATACCTACAAAGCTACGGCGCGGAGGGCGCTGCGGGATTGGATCAAGTCTCACGCCTCTACCTCACTGTCCAACGCCACCACAACCAGCCAAGAGAAGCATGATGCCTTCGATTGGCTCATCTTACACGTCGTGCAGGATGGGGAGAGCGCCGAGAAAGTTGCTCCGGCCTCGAAATGGGGACGCACCACCACCACGGTCCTGGAGAAGGTCCGGGCTGATTTCAATGGCGCATCCAAGTCCGCCCTTGATCGCGTGGCGCAGATCCGTCTGCCCAAGCCAGGAAGCGTCGTCAAGCCGCCGGAACTGGCCGACCAGGTCGAGGACTTTGTGGAGAAGATGAAGAACGCGATCTTGTCGTCGTTTGACCTCCGCGTAGCACAGTATGAGGAGGATATCAAGGAGAAGGACTCGCAGCGCAGCTTGCCGGGATGGAACTTCTGCACTTTCTTCATACTCAAAGAGGGACTCGCGAGGGGCTTCGAGAATGTCGGGTTGTTCGAAGACGCCCTGCTGGGCTACGATGAACTCGCCGTTGGCTTGGATACCGCGATCCATGAGCAATTGGAGGGCGCCGGGGCACAGCATGGTAGTGCTTTCCTTACCCACAGCAAGGACTGGCAGGATACAGCAAAACAGGCACTGGAGTCGGCGGGTGACGCTGTGCCGAAGGATGAAGATCCGGCCGAGCCAGAACCAGTTCCCAACCTTGAGTCGGGGGACTTTCCCATCGACTCGAACAAAAAGCCCTATCGGGAGATGATCTTGGCAAGTAACATCTCGATTTTCGACTTCCGCACGTATGTTTTCTCCCGACAGGTCACTTTGCTCCTCCGGGCAGCCAGGGCGCCATCTTTGGCCAGTCTCGAACCGCACGGGAACAAGAAGCAGGCGAAGAAAGCCACGAAGGCTGAGAACTTGATGCTGCTTTCTCAGATCTGTGACAGGGCAAATGAGTTTATCAGTCTCGCGGCACGAACACTGAGGTCTGATCTTCAGACGGGCTTGGCTGAGGTGGACAGCAGTGCCGCAAAGCAAGAGGTGATCGACAATATGGTGTCGTCGTGGGTTTATGCTGCTGCTTCTCAGATCCTCTCTCAGACCTTCACGCCGGCTTTGACACTTCCGGAGACTACCTGCCACATCGCGAACAGGGAATCGGGGACTTCCAGTTCCGCCGAAGTCACAGGGGAACTTCCTAAACGTACTAGCTCGCTCATGAACTCTTCTGCCGCTCGTTCTTCACGCCCGGGAACATCGGAAGTCATGTCATCCGAGAGCCTCTCGATTTATGCCCGACCGGGCTTGGAGGTCCCGAAACCTACCCCCAAAACTGGTTCCGAGCAGTTGGCTTCGGGGAGGGGAGACCTATACCTCATGGCTCGACGGGCCTTGGAAGGAGTATCTGGCAGATACGGTTGGAAGGAGAAGTGGAATGAAGATCGATTACTATTCGATGACGAGAACAATGCAGAAAACGACATGGCTGAGGTCAGCCTGGATGATGAATCGCCGGAATCCACGAAAGATGCGTCGGAGCCAAGATATCTCTGTGGTATCAATTTTCCCGGATTGAGAATCGCCCTTCGCTCAAGGACAGCTTTTCGAATGCACTTTGAAGACCTGACGGACCAGATGTATCGGCACCATATTGCTGCTAATCGCACCAACTCAGCCCACGCCGCACTCGCCGATATGGCTCTCCTACGGTATCGGCTAAGCGACTATGGCGCGGCTGCCTCGTATTTCCACCAGTTGACTCCGTTCTATGGCAACAAACATTGGGCTGTTTTGGAGGGCGTCATGCTGGAAATGTACGCACGTTGCCTGAAAGAGCTGGAACGTAGCGAGGAATATGTCCGCACAATTCTGCGCCTTCTCGCCAAGTTTGCCGCTTGGACAGAGTCAAACCTGTCACGCCGTCAAAAGACACTAGATGCCTCGCACATCTTCGCCGAGAACGCCTTGGTCTCTGAATATGTTGATGAGCTTTTCAAGGCCTCCGGGGCCTTGAACAAAGAAGTGTTTGCACCGATGACCGATTTCTTTGGTGACCTTAAAGTCCAGCCGACCATTATCCATTATGGAGACAAGGATGGGTTTCAGTTACAGCTTGCCTTGAGGTTTCTTCTCGGCAAGCGGATTGAAATCAATTCACTCAAGTTGCGGCTAGTCAGCGCCCTTGGTCCTCAGAGCAACGAGCACTGGTTAGAGATGCCAACAGGGATGACCATCAAGTCGTCCTCGACGAAGGTGCTTGTAGATTCATCGGTGAGTATAATCTAATTATGTCCAGCTCTCATTCCAGTATGCTGACCATGAAAAGATTTCGCTGCAAGGGAAATACTTTGTGGACCGCATCGAGATACGTGTGAAAAACCTCATCTTTACATTAGCGGGTGGAAGAAATGCATCCCTGCCGATTGGGTTCAGAGAGGCAATAGAGGCCGAGGAGGAAGACAGCCGCCCTTACATTTATTGCTTTCCTCCACCGGACGGCCTGCAGGCAAGGATCGTTTCCCCGCATCTTGTCAACCTGCAAGAAATGCGGACGCTGGAGCTGGAACTCAACAGCGGATGGAACGATATCAAAACAGGCACCCTGCGCGTAAGGCCAGCCACTGCTGGTCTGCGACTGAGAATCTCGGAGGCAGAGTTGGTCGAAGGCGAGATTCAAATCAAGGCCAACGGCGATTTAGGCACCATTGAGTTTAACGAACTGAAGCCAAAATCATTTGTTCGACTCCGGATCCCTTACACGGTGGAGGAGCATCATCCGATCTTATCCGCAAGAGCAGAGGTGACCTATGAAACGGGCAGTGGGTCGTTTTCATACTCTTCCATTCACAACATTAATTCAGGTTTGCCAATCAGCGTCAACGTGCAGGATATTTTCAAGAACGACGTGCTGTTTTCCCGGTTTACAATCAGCCCGGCCCTGATGATCCCTCTTCGAATCTTGAGATGCAACATCCCTAGTTCGAATGCCTACGAGGTGCAATCAAGCATTGGCGACTCTGTGGCGCTAGATGTCTTTCCCAAGCAGCCCGCCTCCTTAATATACAAAATTCGACGGAAGCAGGAGAATGTCTCCTCCCCTGGTTCCAGACGCTCACTCCGACTGAGTGTTGATTTCACGTGCGTGGATGATGAGTGCATGGATGCCGTGGAAAAGACATTCCACTCTAGCATCATGGCTAGTGATTTCCACCCATACAGCACGTTGCTTACGTCGCATATTGTTGATGCATTCCGCACCGAACTGTCAACCTCCGACATGGAGATTGTTGGCCTGGTGCGTGAGGTGGAAACGTTGGGGTATGCAAATGCTCGATGGGAAGGATTACTGGGCGCGCTGAAGGAGCCACTGGACGGACTGAAAACGTGGCTCAAGGATTGGCACAAGGTGAGAAGCAGCTAGCGCATTGGCCGTGCTTCCCTCGCATTCAAGTATACTGACATACACGCACACAGAACCACCCGGTGATTCGTCTGCCAGCGTCGCCCACCGTGCCTAAGAGACACATTGTCATTCCGGTTGATATTCCTGAGATCCCAGTTGTCCATACAGCCGAGCTTCGCCTCACTAACCTGACGGGCCAACATCGACACGCCGCCGTTGGCCAAATGATCGCCGCCGAACTCACTATCCATCACACTCGGCACTGGTGCTCAGCCGAACAACGCGAGCAGGCCGATGGATCGCTCGAATTTACATATGAGCTTCATGGCAACCCCGACTCGTGGTTGATCGGCGGCCGACGTCGCGGAAACTTTACCGCCGATGAGGGGGAGACTAAGACATTTGCGATCATGCTCCTACCCCAGAAGGCTGGCCACCTTCTCCTCCCCGGGCTAGAGATTAGAAGCTTTGTACCACCGTCGCCCTCGTCGTCGGGAGCCCCGCCGCCACCGCAGCCCTCGACTGGAGGGGCGGCAGCAGCAGCAGCAGCAGATCCCGCGCCAGCCACGAGCCAGCTACAACGACGACCCATTCCTTGTGAGGTAGATTACCGTAACCACGGGGAGACGGTGTTGGTCCTACCCGATCTGCGGACGACGACGGTCAGCCTTTCCCTATCGGGCGGCAGCCATGGCGGCGCATGGTTGGTCGATTCCGAGCGACTCCATCAATCTGCGAAGAGTACGAGTACATAGACTTGCAGAGAATGTTTGAAAAGGGGGGTCCTGGCCCTATGATTCGTCTGTATAAACATATAGAGATACATTCATACATATATTCAGAGACATAACCGCCCTTTCAGCTTAGAATAGGTCTCCGTACTCAGCAGATATCAGCAGCATACTACTCGGCGCACTCACTCACATGTTTGAAAATTTCACAACATGGCGAAACCCCGAAGTTCCAAAATTCAGGTAAATGCCCCCCAGAATTAAATTACCACCCCGACAGAAAAGAAAACTCGAAAACCGGGAAAAAAACCACTTGAACCACGCCAATGAATAAACTAAAAAAATACAGTTTAGCACCCCCGAGAAGCGCCGCCGCCGGCGCGCGCAAGCCCCCTCTTTCCCCATCAAATCAGCACCACGCAATCGACTGACAAGCCCGTCCATTCCTCGGGCGTGATTCGTTCGTTTCTTTTTCTTTTTTTTTTTTGGTGGTTTTCTTTGCTCCGACCCGATCCAACCACCCCCCGGGAAGAAAAGCCCCACCAGGGGGGGCCTTCTGGAGAATCTCAACAAAATCGATGGGGTGCCCCAACAGAAGTTTTTGACATGCAGGGATTTTTTTTTTCTTTTTTTGCTGGCACACTTTACTCGAGCACCGTTGACACATGACTTACTGTAGTGAATTGGGTGTTTCGGTATAGACGAGTTCCGGACTCAGGTCATTTCGGCTTCATACTCCATACTCCATGGGATTTATTGGGGGATTTGAGATCTGGTGACCTTGGTGTGTGGTTTACTTATACTTTAGTTTTATAGTTGTTGGGAGATGATGTTGCCGTCATTCAGCATTGTTCGCATCATGTTGAACACAACGCCATAGTATGAGGCTCCTTCGGCTCTTATCACATGTGCTGCTTTGCTTGACTGTATTCCTTGTCAGTGGTTGTGTACTGTACACCGTACACTTTACGGCGTACACAGCAGGGTGAAGCGTTCGCAGCGACGGTGGCAAGATGCAGCTGAGTGAGGACTCGGGAGCTCGACTCAGGAGCGGCAATCTTCAATCTTCTCCTCGGCAGGGACCAATCAGAGCTCTTAGAGATCAGGCTCCTCGCTGACAGTGGTGGAAGCCAAATGGAAGCGCGAAGTGATCCACTTTGCTTTGGGGGGAGCTGGCTGACCAGCACTTTCAGATTGACTCCGTAGTTCTTCACACTGTGTGTGTCTTTTGCTCGCCTGGTGGGCAATGTTTGTTTCAATTGCATTGCTCCGTAGATGGAAGTAGGAGTATGAGCAGTGCGTAGCATGCGAGGTAGCTGGGTTTTCTCTCTTCAAACAAGAAGTAGCCGAGACTACGGGGTAAGCTGAGTTGATCTGAGTTACTCGTGATTTGAGCTGAGCATGAGTCGTGCTGAGATGAGATTGGTGGTGAGTGAGAGTGATGATCATGGCCATGGTGAAGATGACCGCTGGTATCCATTGCAAATCACCCAGACAGGGAAAAGTCGGGATGGGTTTTCCGAGTGGCATGTGAGATGGGGATCCTTGTTGGGGGGATACAATCAAGAGGCCAGGCCTGATAAGTTTGATAAGCCTCCAACCGAGTCATCTCCGGGTTGATTATTTCTCCCTCATCACCCCCCCCCCCTTTGCCCTTTATTCAGGTGTCTGTTTCAAGATGACAACATGACAAAAAATGGAAGCTCGGATCATGAAGACGAATCAGACGGATGGCGATACCACTCAAGGAGTCAATGGCCTTTCAGCTAGTGGTGGCGGATGCTTGCTTTGTTTTCTTTGCTGAAGCTGAGCAACAAAAAAAAGAAAAAAGAAAAGACCAAAAAAAGACGGCGCCAAGATTGTTGAGAAGCCAAAATTCTGTAGGATGATTTTCATTGGACCCAGTGGGGCGGTGAAGAGTCCACTCCCTCCCCGGTTCTCGGTCCCTGGTAATGTCAGTGGTATTTTTGCAACTCTGCAGATGCCGGCCGGCCACATGGAAAATTCCTCGATCAGTGGTGAACCCCCAACCCCATCTCATTCGCATCTTCCCTTCTCTCCACAATCCACATCACACGGCGACTGCATGGGGTTTGCGGTGAACGGTGAACGGTAAACAAAACACCTGCAGAGGCGAGAATGGAGAACCCTTTCCAGGTCAGGACAGCTTCAGCCACCGCCAATCGTACGACCATTAGTCAGACTTCCTCTCTCTACTCAGCCTTATCGGACCCGAGGTGGCGAGAGCTCTGTCTCATCAACCACCTCGGCGTATCGTACTCCGTACAGTAAGTAGCAGTAGGCTCAGGCTGTGGTTATCAGAGAGTTCAAGACTGTGAGGCGCGGCGCGTTCATCACAGCAGACCATGCATGGAGATGCATCTAAGCATGCACAGCCAGAATGATAGGCTCAGCTCCAACCTCGGCATTCGTGCACAAACAAGATTGTCAAGATCGACTTTCAGCAAATCCTTGTGAAGTTGTGAGTGAGCAATGAGCATCCACAGCACAAAATGGAGCCAGGAGCTAGCAGTCTAATGTGCCGTCTCGGACGATAACAATGGGGCCAAGGTGGCCGCTATGCACATGGGAAAGTGAAAGTGCACGGAGCAATGCGAGGCAAATTTGGCAATAGAGAGAGGGATTGCAAAATACCAGCAGTGGTAACGGGCCAGGTGGACTCCCAACCGATCTGACCAATACTGGTTGTCCCAACTGATGCAAAAATTTCAAGCGGGAGATCCCCCGTACCAAAGTGTTACAAGGGCCAGGGGGCGGCGATTGTTCTGTTCGGTTCGGGTTCGAGGTTCGTTCTGGATGCTGGATGCTGGTAGAAAGAAGTCAGATTATTATTCTCTCACTTGAAAAAAAAAAGATTGTTGTCTCTTGCCTCTCTTCCCTTACCTTCTTTCTTTTTTTTTTTGTCTTCCTTTTGCAAATTACCCTTTTTTGCCTTCTTCCCTTCCGATTGTTTTTTTTTTCCCTCCCTCCCTGGTTCGCCGCGCTCCCCTCCTCCCTCCCCCGGGTTCTGTGTTGAACACCTTATTATCACGTCTTTCTCGCCTTCTTCCCTCTGTCGTTCTTCATTCCCTCCTCACGCTCCTCTTCTCCTCATCCTATCCCTCCTCCCCCCCTAAGTCGACGAAAGGCTTTCCTGAGGTGATCAGTCAGGTCCCTCTCACTGTCCCCTGCCTTGCTGTCAGTCCCCCGACCTGGTCGCTTTTCGTTGTGTGGGAACCCCTTCCGTCCAGTGCATCTCGGCTCTCATCTTCTCCGAGCACTGCTTCGACCAATTGGTGAGTTAGAGAGATGAATCCCTTGGTGGCCTGTTCCCAGGAATGCGATAAGGTCACAACATATCGGGTAGCTAGGTTTGCTAACCTCCTGTTGAAGTCTTGTCTAGCGCTTGCAGATTCACCACAGGACCGAAAAGTCAACATGTCCTCCACGGCTCTCCCTAAGCGCGTTGCGCTGCACCGCAACCCCACCACCGACTCTTCGGTGGCCAGCTCCATCGCTCCTTCTCCGATGGACAGCCCTCGCCAGTCTCCTTCGACCACCTCTCTGTCCTCGCTGGCCTCCGAGGCGGAGGCTCGCAGCAAGATGCTGGATACCTATGGCAATGAGTTCAAGATCCCGGATTTCACCATAAAGCAGCTCCGTGATGCCATCCCCGCCCACTGCTATGAGCGCAAGGCCTTGACCAGTCTGTCATATGTCGCCCGCGACTTGTTCTGCTTGGCCACCGTCTTCTATGTCTTCCACAACTATGTGACCCCGGAGAACATCCCCTCCACGCCCATCCGTACCGCTTTATGGGCCCTTTACACCGTCGTGCAGGGTCTGCTCGGAACCGGTGTCTGGGTTCTGGCTCACGAGTGTGGACACCAGGCTTTCTCCCCGTCCAAGGTTCTGAACGACACCGTTGGCTGGGTCTTGCACTCTGCTCTCCTGGTGCCTTACTTCTCCTGGAAGATCTCCCACGGAAAGCACCACAAGGCTACTGGTAACCTTGCCCGCGACATGGTCTTCGTCCCCAAGACCCGCTCAGAGTTTGCTACTCGCGTCGGCAGGGCCGTCCACGAGCTGAATGAGCTGATGGAGGAGACTCCCATCCTGACTGCTCTCAACCTGGTCCTCCAGCAGCTGTTCGGATGGCCTATGTACCTCCTCACCAACGTCACCGGCCACAACAACCACGAGCGCCAGCCCGAGGGTCGCGGCAAGGGCAAGAAGAACGGTTACTTCGGTGGTGTCAACCACTTCAACCCCTCCAGCCCCCTGTACGAGGCCAAGGACGCCAAGCTCATTTTCCTGAGTGACCTCGGTCTTGCCATCACCGGAACCGTTTTGTACCTGGTTGGCTCCAAGTTTGGCTGGATGAACCTTCTGGTTTGGTACGGCATTCCCTACCTCTGGGTGAACCACTGGCTCGGTAAGTTTTCGCTTCCCTGTTTTTCTTGGTTAGATGACGGCTAACCTCGATCCCTAGTTGCCATCACCTACCTCCAGCACACTGATCCCACTCTCCCCCACTACCACCCCGATGTCTGGAACTTTGTCCGTGGTGCTGGCGCCACTATCGACCGTGACTTCGGCTTCGTTGGCCGTCACATCTTCCACGGCATCATCGAGACTCACGTTCTCCACCACTATGTCAGCACGATCCCCTTCTACAACGCCGATGAGGCTAGCGAGGCCATCCAGAAGGTCATGGGCAACCACTACCGTACCGAGGCCCACACCGGATGGACTGGTTTCTTCAAGGCCCTCTGGACCAGCTCCCGTATCTGCCAGTGGGTTGAGCCCACCGAGGGCGCCGAGGGCGAGAGTGCCGGTGTCATGTTCTACCGTAACACCAACGGCATTGGTGTTCCCCCCGCCAAGGTTGCCCAATAGATCTGTTCTCGGTCAACACATAGAACGCGCGTCGGTTTTTATGCCCTCAATTCTCTCGATTAGGGGGGATTGTGTCATTTCTGTCTTGTTCGAATTTTTTTTCCGTGGTGCTCTCGCAGGATCGAATTGGCCACGATATGACCAGCACTCGTCATAGAGTATCTGCTGCGAGTTGATCGATCGTCATTCGAGCGCTGAAGGCGTATTTGGAGTGGAAGTGGGAGCAGGCGGGGTCGGGTTAATTGTGATTGTTGGATTGTTGTAAAAGAAAAAACACAAAAGCAAAACACCCATTCTTTCTCAACTGGCCGTTATCAATATCTTGGGAGCCATTTTCCTACTTTTTATCCCCTTCCAGATGTCCTCATCACTCATCATCTCGTGTATGACTTTTGAGCTCAATAGAATAATGTCTGCATCGTTCAATGGTTAGCATATTTATCCGCCCTGTTACCCCTCGTACATCGTGATCAGCTCCGAGCTCTAGGTTGCACAATAGCATCCGTCGTCGCCATATGACACGGCAATGGCCAAACCAGCATTTTTTGAGTAGAACTTCGTCACTCAGTAGGTAGAGTGGAGACCAGATCAAGATCTGTTGGGTTGGCATGGCCTGGCCTGGCATTCTAGACCGGCATTGCACAACCTTGAAGATTCCTGATCCAGAGCCGCCCGTCTCAGCGGGGCAAAAGCATCGATGGTGGTGAACCGAAAGTCTGGGTCGCGGGGGGAAGAAAGAGGGGGTGCAGGGGGGGGTCTTATTATTGGAAGTTGGAACCAAAATCCTTTATTCCTTTAAAAATAAAAATAAACCTAACGTTTTCCCCCATCCCCCGTCCGCGGGCTTCCGCCCGTGCCGGATAGTCTGGAGAAGAGGGGTGCGGCGCTAGTCCTAAATGAGGTGTGGCATGAGGCATGGATCATGGATGCGGTTCCTGAAGTTGTATAAGTGTGATGTACAGTACTCTTCCTGGACTCTTTTCGGGGAGGCTAGGTCTGCTTATTGATTGGGGTTGGGGGTTATTTTGTTTCATGGTGATGGGATGGTTCTTTGGATGGTGGGGGATATGCAATGAGTATGTGGGGATACTCAATGGGTAGGTATGGGTCTATCGCAATTAGGATCATGCTTCTGTGGGATCCAACCAATTTGGATATGTGAGGTTATGTTTATGAACAGGAGGGGCCCATATACAGGTGTGATGCTGCCGGTTAGATCCGATGTTTTTGAGCTCAGGAAGACGGAGAACAGCCTCGGATACCCCCCTTCCAGATCTCGATTTCGACTTCTTCTTGAGTGGTTGGTTGTTGAGGCTGGGGTTCTTGGTCGTCTCGCGGGTTGTGGATGTCCCCTTGCCCTCCTCCGCCGGTCCAAGGGGCGAAGACTACCTTGAAGGTTCGGCGGACGGTTTGCGGGGTTGTGCGTTGCGTTGAGGGGAGGTGGTGCTGGGTTGTTGGAGGGTTCGGGTCGGCTGGAGAGGGTGCAGCTGGGGCTTGAGGGTTTGGGACGGTTGATGGAGATTCCAGTGGTTGTGTGTCTGGTGGGGTGTTCGGTTGGTGGGGAGCGGAGGATGGAGCTGGATTGGGGACTACGGTTGCTGGTTGCTCATCCTTCAATGCTGCATCGTCTGATGGCTCGAGATCTTCGGTGTCGGAGTCGGAATTGGCGATTTCCGCCTTCGGTTCTTCTTCCTGGCTTGTGCCTGTTGTTGTTGCTGTGGTGGTGGTGGTGGTGGTGGTGGTGGTGGTGGTGGTGGTGTCCAACAAAGCCACTTCGTGCTCACTCTTGGTGTTGGTGGGTCCAATAATCTGATCAGAGGCTTCGATTGCCTGCGAGGCATCCCGATAACCAGACAGCTCCTCATCATCGTAGGCGCCCTCGAAGTCAAAGACTCCTAATGCGCGAGTCTCCTTCTTCAAGGCGATCCGACATGCGATTTGCGTCGACCACACCAGCCCCAGCGTTGGAGTTTTGGAGGTCGACCTCCACAGCCCCGGGTCATAGCCCGGAAACAAAGACTGCGGGGTGTCGCCCCACCCCGTGAAGAAGCGTTGCTGGTGCACGAGACTCAGGATCTCGTTGCGGACAGGGTTCCCGATGAGGTACGAGCCGTCGAACTGTTGCTGCTGCTGTTGCTGCTGAGGCTCGTCGTCTGCGAGGGGGAACGGCGAGGAGGAGAATGGAGGCTGAGAGGACGGTGCGAACATCATTTTGCTGTGGTGGTGATTCATGGGAGTGAGGTCTACGTTGCTGGTTTCGGCAGCCCAGGAATTGCGGGGAAGGGGTGATAGTGCTCCCCCACCTGCCCCGGCTTCGGTTCGCGGTATTCGTTGTTGCTGTGGTTGTTGGGTAGAGGGTGCAGATGAGTATGCGGTAGCAATACCGGGACGGAAGAGATTCGATGGTGTGTCGCTATCGATGCGATCCGAGACTTGATTGGCGACGACAACGGCTATGTCTTCGGCCACGGCGAGGTTGCGCAACAATTGGCCCAGTTTGGTGAGTTCGCCGGACCGGGTGGAGAGCCCTGATAGGTTGTGGGAGGAGTGCTCGGCTCTGTAGTTGGAGGTGATGGAGTCGATGACCACCAGTCCCACGTTGTAGCGCTTGATCGCGACAGGAAGTTGGTAGTTGAGGATATGATCTTGGCTCTCGAGGTCCATCGCATTGATGGACAGGACCCTTTCGAGGGAGGGGGCTTGGTCTTTGGGGAGCCCACAGAGGTAGGGGTGGTATGCGATGAGCTGAGACAGTCGCAGTGTCGATAGAGGAGCTTCGGTCGAGATGTAGATCGCATTCTTCGCCAGGCCCCGGGGGATAGGCAGCTGGACGGCCAAAAGGAGAGTGAGGAGGAACTGCGTCTTGCCGCTTCCACTGCAGTCTACGTTAGTCCTTTCATGCCTTCTGAATGCGCATATGCAGGAGTGGGACAAGCCAATACACGCACCTCTCACCCGTCACTTCGGTCACGTAGCGAGTCGGTATCCCTCCGTCGAGCAGTGCGTCTAAGGTAGGGTCGAGCGTGCTGATCGCAGTCCATTGCGACAGATCTAGCGTGCTGGCTGGGCCTGGGGCGACAGGGAGATCCTCACTGAGGCTGGAGGCTGGCTCTTCCGTGTCGGGGCCTTTGATCTCTTCGAATCCGACATCGTGATGAAGCGCTCGGATGACCTGAGTGGACAATCGGCGAACGTCGGCTGCGGGGACGTGGGCGCGTTTGGCAATCTCGAGGGTGTCGAGGGTAATGAGATCGACGGTGGTGATGTGATTCCGCTCGAGAGGAGGGAGAATATGGGAGTACCGTTTGGTTGGAAAGTCCGGGAGGACTGACAAAAGATCCATAAGCGTGAGAAAACCGGATGAAGCAGAGGTTGAAGCTGCCCGCCATCAACTCAGCGATCGCCGTGGTTCCGTGGCGGCGACGCGGAGAGGACGCGGCCGCACGTGCGCCATCACTAATTAGTCTTCCCAATTGGGATCAACACATCTAGATCTATGATATGAATTATGAGTCGCGAATTTATCAACTGAATTACTTTCTGAGTTTCTCTTTCGGTACTCTAGACTTGCTATACATAGTCACGAGCATTCTCTGCTCCTTGTTTCTATTTTCTGCCCAGTCCCCGAACAGGAATGGGCACAGTATAGCAGCATTTGATGACACATTGGTTCATTCGAGTCAAGGCCAACATCATATGGAACAGTCCAAGGTGGTCATTGACTGTGCTGTGCTCCCAATCTATTATCTGCAGCTATGTGGAAAATCTTTAGAGGGATCGTGGTAGGCTTCCAACATTCGGCGCAATATCAGTACAGGAAGATCTACCAGTGAGGCTCACGACCAATATACCCTTTTCAGCGGGTTGTGGTGTGGTAACTTAGCCTGAAAAAAAAAACGCCTCTACCAAGAGCCTCATGACTAAAAGCTCCGTGTGTCTGGGCATGCGCTTGGCCTTCTTCGAGCCTCCTTCAAGACGACTTTATGCAGATATCGACCCGATAATCTTGGTCTCCCGGCACAGGTGCCTTCCGGAAAAGCAACGGCTGGCGGCATCGACGCCGAGTGGGAGATGGTTTGCTGGCCGTGCAACATGGAAGAAAAAATTCCCCGACGAGCAGATTGGTGCGACCTTGGAAAGCACAGCTGTCCTCGTATTCCAGTACGGGACGGACAGCAGTCCGGGACAGCTGAAACTAGGATCATCACAACGCTCATCCAGTCACCCAAGTCCCAGCGGCATTCTTGATAGCAGGATTGGACATGATGCATCATCCATATCCTGGGTCGATGACTATCTTTCGTTCGATGGTGCAGGGACCTTCGAGGATAGACGGATGAGTGTCGACAGTCATGGATCGCAAGTCGAATGCATGATGTTATGAAAGGTGGATGGATCATCGCACGGACGACTTGTGCGAGGGGAGCATTAACTCTTCTCGAGATCGGAAAGTGTTCCCGGTAAGACTAAGGCTTCCTCTCTCCCTGGGGGTTGAAGCAAGGAAGACCAACCCGGAGAATATTGGTCTGGAGAATATTGGTCTGGAGATATTGGCCCGGGATATAGATATGGGGCAGACATGACGCGGTCGTGTTTCACGGGAGCTTTTTATGGAAACCTCGCCCTAGATCGCAGTTCGTTGGCCCTACTTTTTGTTTGTTTTCTCTGAATGCAACGATGGAGGCGAAGGGCGAGGATGGGGTGGGATGCACAAATTACGGGGTAGAACCTCACGGACTTGCGAGTACACCGTGCGCATGGCCGGCCAGTCTAGCAGACGAGGAATGGCATAGCTGACATGTGCGTTCGCCTTAGTCACGTCTACCAAGGCACTTGCTGTATGGAAATACCTCCGCAGTCATTTGGCACAAATTGTCAAGTCCCATGAAATGGAGACTCAACGAAAGATAATGCATCATTCAGGTCTGTTAATCGCCAAATAGGAAGTTTCAATCAATACTGAGTAAGTAACAAGCTTAGGTAAAATGAGGCAGATGACGTTGGTGATAATCTGTCCCATAAGAAAAGAGGGTCATCAAAACGCACAGACACAAGCTATGACACGATAATGCATGCATCGTCCAGGGGACCCCCTCCCCGCGCTGTAAAGGCAGAGACGGGGAGGAAACGAATCACAGCGATCGGCCCAGATTCGAGGCCAGATCCTGTTCGATCTCTTTTGTCTCCCTCTTGAAGAAAAAAATACGAGCAGCAGCGCGGATGGATACATCACATTTGAAACTGGATCTGTCGAGTTCTCAAGGAAAAGCTACCCTGGCGAAAAAACGGTCGGCTAGAACATAATGAGACTAGTGTCCCGACTATTACGAAGTAGTTTCGTGCTGAATAATCTGACAGCAGCATGATGGCTCCTTAGCCTTCTAATTGTGGGTTGGATGGGGCCGACTACTGTCTGTTAAACACAGTAGGATTGTCACTCTTCCCCCGCTAGATAGATAGGCTAGGGGATTCAACTATCTTGTACGGAGTACCGTGGTCTAGTATCTGGACTATCGACCCCGTACGCAGCATTGCTTATTAGGATCAGCCAGCTATTTTTGTACGTCATGATTTAGACCGGTATGAGCGCTACCTACCGCTCACCACAAAAGGTTTCCTCCTTTTGTTGTCTTCATCTGAGACGAAGATCTGCGCGCAAAATTGTTTCGGGTGTGAATGAGCTGCAGTAGTTGCGAACTTGAACGGACAATACTTAGGACGGTTCTCTATTAGGGGCAAGCGAGCGCAAAAACCGGTTTCCTACAGGACTGCTGCCGCTTTGCCGATGTGCATAACTTATGCTGTATGGCGAGTCAACAAGGACTGCCTATGGGCTGGAACCCCTCCCCTACACCCTTTTGCAGTCTGGTAGCATTCGCAAGACCCGCAACAGTGAAGAGAGAGCGGCCGGTGAAAGAAAGCTTGCGGTGTCGCAGGAGGCAATTGTAGACGGTGGCCTCTACAACGAATGGTGGTCGCGTCAGTGGCAGCACAGCAGCACAGCATCCTCGCGGTCGCACAGGCTGGAGGTAAAATCAGGCCCTTTGGAGAAAGTCGGACATTTACCACAGGCCAATCGCGCCTCGAGTCCACCGGATGTGCATACAGCACTCTAGTTGCTGTTCCCGGTCGCCGGAGAGAAGCCTGGGGTTTGATCGGTGATAAGGATACAGGACCCTCTGAGTTGCGGGCTTACTCGCTCTTGAGAGCTTGTCTATAGCTCTGGACCGATTATGGCCGCTCGGAAATCCTTGGACACAGGGACAAAGGATGAATAGGCCTGCGAGGGAAGGATGCAAGATCATGGGATCGGATTGGCAATCTGGGGAGGGGATGGGAATTGAAATGGCTCGCTGGCGAGTCACGGCCTTCATCTCTGGTGACAGCATCATGAGACGAATCGATGCCAGGGTGGTCACAACCTGATCGTCCCGATCATGAGAAGCGATTGGAGGGTTCCGTACGATCATTTTTTCTTTGTGCGCCGATGACTCCATGATTATTCGACCCCTACCTTACCTCCCCAAGTGCTGGAAATCGACTAGGATACACGTAGCCTATGCAAATTGACGGGGGATTCCATGTTGGCAAGACCCGACACTCTGGATACTGGCCGATCCCTCGCTGAATAGTTCCAAGCAACTTGTTGGAGTCATAAACCTAAAACGGGACTATCAAGATCATTTGGGTAAAGAAGGGGTGAACAGGGTGCTGAGCAGCAACTGCATAAGATGTTTGCTTTCTGTAACCCCCTACACCGGTCGTCGGTGAAGGATATAATTCATGTATAGTGACGGACAAATGCGGTACGAAGATCCTCCCTAGTCGTTAACGTCATCTCATGCCTCGGGAAGTGTGATAGACCTGAGTTCCTGACTCAGAGCTGATCGAGAAGACACTCGGAAGCTGTACTGCGCACGTACGCTGCATTTACTCATGATCTACGGAGTACGGACCACTAGTCTCTTGCTCTCTGGGAACTCTCCTGAGACTTTAAGGGGATGGTGCCCCCTGAAGTCGATCCCTCACGGCGCGTCCGCGAGCACTGACAGAATGGCTTCACGATTGTCCGGGGCAAGCCCCTTTCTAGACGACAGCTCCGGATGAATCTGGCATTTGCCTAAATGTCTAAGCGCCTAAGCAGTATCAACATGTCAGACACACGAGGAATCATTCACCGTTATTCTGCAATTAAAGTGGGCCCGAACAGACGGTGTTTGTGACGATGTGATATACACAATTTATAGGGCGTTTACTTTAGCTTAGTAAGAGGACCTGGACTTCTGGTTAGATTGCCATGTGAAATGACTCTGCACTATATCTGACAACTGTCCGGTGGATATCGATCACATAGGGCACCTAGTACCTAAGTACTTGAGTACTCAGTAAGGGTTGCCAGCTCGGAAAAGTGAGTGTCAAGAGCAGTGCCACTCCAAGTGGTTGAAATGGGGCCGCTCTATTCGGTGCGGACCGTTCAAGTGGGGCGGGTTGAAACTTTTCCAGCGTTTCCACTGTTCCACCTGGCACTCAACCGCCGCCTTTGTTTGGGTACGTACTCCGTACGGAGAGTGGCACGAGAGTCCGACTCTTAGACATCTTTCTCTGTGGACGACACAGTACGGAGTACGTATGAGTAAGATGATGGAGCCTCGAGCCGATGCCTACATCCCGAACTCTGAAGGAGAAAAGTGGGGCGTGATATGGTTGGTGCAGGGCTAGACTGCAACAGCGTAGATTGCCTGAAGGACCATGGCAAGGATCAAGGATCAGAGACCTTGGATCAAGGATCCTGGATCATGCCCGGTTGGCACTGACCAGAGACAAGACGGAAGAGTCAGGCGCAGGGACCACCCGTACCAAGCCAGTTAACTGGTAAGGCATGTAGTCATGTAGTGTGACTGTGCCGGGCTGTACAGTACCTTACTGATTCACTCATACTTTTTGCTGATTTAGTGGTCGTACTTTTTCCCCGACTCCCGGAGATGTGCCGCAGCAACCTGAGGCCCAAACGCTTTTGCTGCCTCAGGGCCACCCGCCCGCTGCAGATCCGACAATCCAATTTCATTCTGGAGGCGGTGCTGATGGGTTCCAGTTTTCAAATCCCGACTCCTACTTAGTTGAGTAATGATCAGCAGTACCTCGATCGGTGCCAGATTTGCTTTTCCGCTCACACATTTAAGGTTTGCCCTCCTAGGTTCGGCCGGTAATAATGGTTCCATTCGGTGATTTCTTAGTGCCTAATAAACCAACAGTAAGCCAGGACCACCATGACTAAGATTCGTTGTGATTGCGAAAGCTTCCAAAAATATAAGGGAGAGGAACAGAGGAACAGAGGGGTAATACAATGTATGATAGAATGAATCAATAAATTCGCTTTGCAGGTGTTCAACAATCCTTGCTCATGATGCTGTTCAATGAGATCCCTCCTTCCGGTAGATTGCGTTCGGTACCCCAATGATGGATCTCCTCGAATCCTAGTAGGTCTGAGGATTATAATTATCTCCATTCGATAAATGATTGGTCGCAGTGCGAAGTGCGTATGCAGGCTGCAACGATAGCTCAGAGCGAAAATACCCTTCCAGATTGTGTGGTGGTGCCACCTGCTGAACTCCTGGTAAGTATCGGTACCATCTATGTAAAGTTCGGCGGCTCTATTCTGCCCCCCTCCCAACCTCGGTCGGGTCGAAGTGGCCGGCGACCACAACAGCATTGCATTGACAGCTAGGTGACAAGAAGTTTGTAGTGACTTGACTTGAATGGAAATTAATCAATCTGAATGGGTTTGCGATACCAGGTATGCTGGCTCAACGAAGCGATAACACCTGAGCCAAGCAAGGCGCTGGGGTTGCATCTGCAGGATGGCAGGAAAGGCGCATTGACCACCCCCACTGGGCTGTTGTCATGTAAGTTATCTTGCGCTCCGAACACCTGGGAGAAGCAACCGATCCGGCGGACTGGGAAATCCTACCTCCAGTAACCCATGGCTTCTGTAGCTCCTCCATGTGGTCAAAATGAACATGGGTAGGTAGCACTCGGGTACGCACTTGTCGCAGGTGAGGTTCATTGTTTGGAATACCGTGACCGCGCAGCCGATTGTCAAGTGTCAACAGCATCCCCACTGCGGAGAGTGTACTGTACTGTACATACATCTGTAAGGATTTCACCTCAGAGATCTAATTACTTTCAGGACCATTAGCGACTCCAGCAGCTTCTCATCGGGGAGTCATATCCTTTAAACATTCTATCTCCAATGAACACCAATCATGTTCCTGTCAGCATAAGATTTCAGCTGCAGAGAGTGCCTACTAGGTAGTCTACCAGTAGCATAAGCGATAGGAAGTACTCCGCGCTAAACGGGATGAGCACAGGAGCAATTCCATACCTTCGACAGCAGGTACTGTACCCTGCTTAGAGTTCGCAAGCATCGTGTCAGGGGGCAGGGGGAGGTAGACCATCCAACCGTCTTACTGGCTGTCTTAAGCTCCTAGCCGAGTAAGAATCGCCTTACTTACTCGTAGTACTGTACCATCCACTTGCGAGAATGATAGTCCAATTGCCTTGATACTCGTTCTAGAGTGCTGTCTGGCCATCAGTTCATTCATCAGCCAGTGTTATTACTATTACGGAGTACACAGCCCAGCATAGAGCCCAGAGACCCCTGCTAGTCCTTATTTAGCTTAGTATCTCCGCTAGTGACAGATTCCCGTCCATTGAGGTCGCATCGCTTAGAGAACAATGTCAGGATACTAGGCTGTTCCTAGCTAGCGAGATCAATAGCTGCGATGCCTTACCAACTTTAGTTGGGCTTTACAAGTAAGTTCAACCGTGGTAAGAACTGCGAAGAAGATTCAATATCCGCCCCGGAGGTTATTCCGTCCTGTCGGTCGCACCCTAAAGCACCCTAAACTACGACATCACAGCCGCGAGTCGTAACCCTCCAGGTTTCTCCTCCCCGGAAGCCCCAGAGTCAGTCAGTCAAGTCCGTCAGCCCCACTAAGTTACAATGCATACTACTACATCAATATTGATATTATTCTTCTGCAAATATTTTGAGGGGGAGGGGGGAAGGTGTCTTTTTTTAGTTATTCAGATTGATTCTATCGATTATTTTTTTTACCTTATGACTAAGGTTCTGATTTCTTTTAGCAACTTTCGTCCTGCTGCTCCCCTCCGCGAGTTCTTCATCGGCCGGTCGCAGTCGCTTTGATGAAGACCCGTGGAAGTGCCATCGGGCCCATTGCCTTAGACGGTGGATCAGCTACCAGTCTAGCTTGTCCCAGTGTCCACCCCTCCGGCTCCAGCTAGTGCCGGATTTGATTTTCTTCAACTTTTGAACCCGAACAATCGGCTAACTTACAGTACTTACTTACTTTTGATGGCTCGCTAGAGAAAGATAATTATTTTTCAATTGAATTCCAGCTGCTAAGCTTCAGATTTTTAGGTATTGTTTATTTCTTGTTATCATCGGTCCCCCCGTTACTGAATACTTAGTACCAACTTTCACCTCCTCTTCTGCAGGGCCCCCCTGGTAGGATTAGAGTTTTTGGGATGATGAGGGATGATGAGGGATGATACGATACCATCCATTTCCGCCATTCATCAGACCGAAGAGCCGGAGGTGCGCCGCCCCGTTCCAGAAAGCAGGGTAATGATATTATTAGCCAGAACTCAGTATTCTACGTACATACTCAGAGTACTCATACTTTACTGGCATAGTAAAAGTAGATTAGGTAGTTGTGGTGAAGGTCCACGACCGCACGTATTATTTCAGCTTGTTCTCCCGTCTTTAGTTCACTCTCGGCGGCTTGCTTAGTTCCAGTTAGTTTTTTAGTTACCTTAATCAAATTAGTACTATGTCTGTGAGGTAGTTTAGTTAGTTAACTTACTTGGTTTTAGTTACTTCATTACAGTACATACAGTACACAACTGACTCTTCCACTCTCTGCCTTTCTCTCTGCCTTTTCCCCCCTCTCTCTGTGGAAATCTAGTCAGGTCTAGTCTTGTCACACTCTTTCTTCATCTTCCTCCTCCATCCCCATCTTGAACATCCTCTTCCCTCCTCCTCCTCCTTCTCCTCCTCCTTCTACTACCCCCCTCCCTCCCCCTCCTATCCTCCTTGAAACCTCGCACGGGTCAATCGCTCTGGGCTATTTGTCGTTCTTCCCCCAGTCCAGTTCGCAGTTGTCCCCAGTTCGAATTTCTTCCTCCTTAATCCTCTTTCTTCTCGCCCATTGCGACGCCCGCTTCAACGCTTATTTGCTAATTCTTAACCTTCTCCTTGGCTCGGTCGCTGCAGCGAATTCCTCTCGTTTGCCCCCGTCTCGCCTCCACCCCCTCCTCCTACTAGCTTTTCCGTTTCACTCAACCGCAGGGTCGGCTCGTGACTTTTTCATCTACCACTAGCAGTCTCTACGTCAAAGACATAATAATACAGCTTGAGGACCCGGAAGGTTTCTGCGCGTATCAGTCTCCCACTTGGTCATAGTTCCGTTGCATCATTTCATCTATGGTTGTCTCATAGTGAGTTTTTGTCCTCCCATTCGCTTACGTCTCTCTCGTCAACGATCAGCGATCGCTGGGAATATATGTCGGTCAAGCAGTCACCTAACGTTCGCTCAGGTTATCAGATCTGCATTAGTGCTTCATCATGGCTTCCAGACCTCCTCTATCGCCCCCGGTGAACGAGACGGAGCACTCCGTCAGCCGGATCACTCGTGAGGGGAAGAAGCTTACATACAAGCTTACGGTGATGCAACAACCCGAGCGGGCAAGAGCATGCGGTGCAGGCGCCAAATGTACGTCTCCAAATCCGTTTGATATGAATCGCTTGCGTGTGAAGAAACTGACAAAATTGTCTCCGATAGCTTCTGCCGACCGCCGTCCGGTTGATCCTCCGCCTGTGGTTGAGTTGCGAATTTTCGAATCTGATCCCAGCGACGACACGCTTTGTACGGACATCACCTTCGCATATAACGCCAACTTCTTCCTTTATGCCACATTAGACAACGCACGTCCAATGGCTCAGGGTAGACTTGCTCCAACTCCAACGTTCCCCGTTCTCACAGGCGTGCCCGTGGCAGGAGTGGCATATCTTGACCGCCCCTTCCCGGCGGGATTCTTCATCTTTCCCGATCTATCGGTGCGTCACGAAGGACTTTACCGGCTGAGCTTCCATCTTTACGAGGAGACCAAGGAAAGCAAGGATGCGGACGAGGGAGCGCCGATCCCGTCACCAATGCTGAAGACGAATCCATTAAAGCCGACGATACCAAAGTCATTCCTCGAATTCCGCCTCGAGGTTGTGTCAGTCCCATTCACAGTCTTCAGCGCGAAGAAGTTCCCGGGTTTGACACAAAGCACACATCTCAGTCGAATCATTGCGGAGCAAGGCTGCCGTGTCCGTATTCGCCGCGATGTCCGTATGAGACGTCGCGGAGACAAGGGATCCGATGACTACGATTATGATGAGGATAGGATGATAAGCAGCCGGCGTGATCGCTATTCTACCCCCGACACTTATCCGACTCCAGCTGAACGCCCACGGTCGACAAGCATTGGTACCGTTGATCAAGGCTATGGGCCTGAGGCCTCACGCCGTCCGTCCGCGGCCGAATACGGCGTCCAGAACCCGCAACTCTACCAGCATCCTATTGCTCATGCTCCAGCTCCAACCACAGCATCCACTCCCTCTCCTGTTACTCCAGTCGCATTTGCGACTCAGAATTCTACGTATCAATCGCATCTTTCCTTCGGGTCGACGCAAGCTCAATATTCCGCTCCCCAGATACCAAGGAATCCGCCGTCTGGATCAATGCCAGTCGCTGCCTACTCAGCCCGTCCGACGCACTCGCATTCTAGAAATCCATCAACCAGCACCGAGCATGAGAAAGATGCGCACCGGATCTACTTACCGCCTATCCGGTTGGACCCATCACATCCAGCGCCGTCACCCACTGAAACACGTTCTTCCGATCCTCCAACGCACCCAGTAGTCGCGCAGCACACGACAGCTCACCCATCACGCAGCGGCAACATTCTTCCGCCGATCAGTGCGATCTCGGGCGAGATCCCCATCAATATGCCTCGGCCTCAGAACAACACTGCTTCCAGTCCTGTTCATGAAATCGCCCAGAACAAAGGCTATTGTGGGACACCAGCTCTGCACCGACATACGCCAAGCGAACGCACGAAGAATCCTTTGGTCATGCCGAGCGCCCACTGCACAACGGCATGCGCCCCGATCGAGAGCCCACTCCTCCACTGGAGCGACGGCTTTCCGACGCCCGACAGGAGGCATCGTACAGCCTGTCCCGGGACGAACTAGCATACAAGCGAGCCAACGGCAGGATGGTCACTAAAATTTCTCCGGCTATGATTCATCATGGACATGGTTTATAGCGTCACGCTTTTCTCTGTCTCCGCAACTCTAGGGAACACCTTTTTATATAGGACGGCGTCTTGGCGAACCGGCCCGTCGGGATGACTTATAATTTTCTTTTAACTTAACGAGGATTTTGGAAGGGCAATTTGGTCCGAAAAGAGAAGGGTTTTGGGGGAGTTTAATTCGATTCTTTGTCATGACAGCAGACATGACGTCTATACCACAGTTTATTTTTGTTTTTTCCGTCGTCCTTGTCTTTGTTGTATATGATCTACCTTGGATTTCACACCATACATATTCCCCCTATGTTTATTGTTGTTTATTTCTGATTGCCAAGTGGGATGGTGTCACCCGTCGGCTGGATTGAATCTCGATTTTTTTTTCTTACATTAGGCTGGCCAGAAATGAATATAGCCATCAGAAGTACGCCGTCAGATATCATCTATCGTCTAATATCTTTGAGTTATACTGTATCAAGCTGCGTAGTCACCATTCCGAACCCATCTAAATGCCATGTACATGATGTCCATATAGTACATGTCTTAGTGAGATTTGTGAAAGCTGTGGTATGCCAATAGTCTTACAGGAGTTTTACAGGAGGGGATCTATCTCATTGGAGCTATCCTACATTCCAGAACACTGGGGCTAATTACTAGGAAAGTGATGAGCGATGATGAGACAATCATTCCTCTCGGGCCATGGAAAATGAAGCATTGTCATCCCAGACACGGGAAGGTGTCTTGGCACATGGGTTACGGAGTACCTTTAAATGTAAACAAATGTAAACAAACAGTTCCAGTTATGTTGGTTGGTTGCTGATAACAATCCACTTTGTCCTCTCCTCACTCCCCAGTCGTCATTGCCGCCGCCGCCGCCGCTGCCTTCTCTGCCTGACCGCTTCTTTTCTCTCTCCTCCACTTCTCTCCCCCGCGTGGTCTTCCCCGGTTTTCTATCGTCATTTGCCCTTGTTTGCCCAGCCCAGTAGATGATATCTTTCAGCATCTCTGTTGATGCGTTGACGTGTTGACGGAAGAAGATAAAGATCGACTGCACCTGCGCCTTTCTGACTCTGGATCGATCGAGCAAAGTCTGAAGGTGTGCGACCGACCGACGGTGCGAAAGTGGATGGATGAATTGTGAGCAAGCAAGCGCAGTAAGGATGGCCGATCGCGCCCATGGACACTGCACGGTCGAGGTTAGTTCCAAGTACCTCAATTCACCCCTCCGTTCCTCCCACTCTCTTGCTTCCAGTCTGTCTTGTGATTTCTATTCCACCTGCACCGTTCAAGCTTTGGTCCTGCCCGTGGCGCGCGTCCACCTCCCTTGCGCAGCGGGTGTGTCACCTCTGCCGTCGCGTTCACAGACATCCAGGATTAGACTGGTTTTGAACGAAGCTTGAATCAAATTAACACTGTGATTCTGTCCAACATCCAGGCCTCCATTGATGACCGTGCGGAGGGGAAGGGTGTCGACGCGCTCGAGACCGATCGTGAGCTTGAACTATCGCTTCAGTCCATGTGCGCCGACCACCACGTGGTCCACCAACATCAGAGGAGCTCCCGGCGCAAACATGCGCGCACCATCGGGGACTCCACCGCCGATGAATCCGAGTCCGAGTCCGACGATTCCGGTCGGTTTGACGATGCCGAAGAGTCGAACTATCCCTCCTGCGCGCAGAGTAGATCCCCGTCCGTTCATTCGGCAAAGCGACGGCGGTCTAATGAGTGGCCTTTACAGTTGGAGAACGGCGGAGAATTTTCAATATCACAGGATAATGATGATCAACAACAACCTATCCAACGGGCTGCGGGTAGCAGCAACAAGACGGGCGGGCACCGGAAGCCGTTCCAGACGGCGGTGGGTAAGATCTCTCCACGGACGTCCATGGGATCTGCTGGCCGGTTCGGTCGCCAGACTGGTGCGTCCGGCCGCGGCCGACGATCGCGGTTCGTCGAGGGAACAATGAGCGACAGCGTGAGCGAGAAGCCACCGAGTATCTTCCTGCGCGATGATGCACGCCACGGTGGAAATGGGACGGGCCAGCAACGGGGCTCTGGGATATTCCGGTTTGGAAAGGCGATCGCCTCCGCGTTCAATCCCTTCGGTGCTTGGGGGTGGAAAAGCAATGCTGATGCCAACAAACAGCCGGATGATCCGCTTGCACAGGCAGAGCGGGCCTACGCGGAGCTTAAGCGCTCCGGTTACAAGGGTACAGTCAAGGGTAGCTATATACGGAGCTTGGATGGGGAGTCTGGAGTTCCTCCCAAGTCCTGGAATCCCATCCCAGAGCCAGCGGCTTACCCGCCCATAGCGCATCATTCGAGACAGAACTCGGGAGAAGGGAACGAGTCTGGAGGGTCTATTCGATCCTCGTTCCAGGAGCTGCGCAAAGCCAAGTCATCCCTGGGCATTCCATACATTAAACGCTTGGACTCAAACAAGCTTTCCTCCGAGGAACAGCCGGAGGGCGCGGAAGTGCGACGCCAGAAGTCGCGCAAAGAGCTCCAGCGACAGGCCAAGCTGATGAAGCGCGTGAGCGACCTGGAACTCAAGTTACAACGGGCGCGTCGGGAACTGCACGACCTAGTTGGCGGCGAGGAAGAAGAAGTGCAGGCACCGACTCCCTACCTCGACAAACCATACTCTCGCAAATTTGTCCCCGGCGCACTTCCCTCGCTTCCATCGGAGCGGTTGTTGCACAGCAATAGTCGGCCGACATCCCCAATCTCCTCTCGAGCCGTGTCGACACCTTTGATCTCCCTGGCGGAGAACATTCACCAGAGCGAATCTGTCGAAGCGCAGCAGAAAGCCACGCCAAGCAAGCCTATAACCGGTACGCAGCAGCAACAGGATGGTATGACACCACGAACACCTAAGGATCCCCAGCCCCAATCGTCTTTGACCGCAGACAGTCCCACCCTCAAACGCAAGTCGCCAGACCCTGCATCCTTGAAAAAGATCCAGCCCGAATCGACGCATTCCACAGACAGCCACCGCCACTACTACGGACCAGCCAGCACACCCACTCCTCGTAAGCCCAAACTGCCGAAGATGGGTCCCGGCGACAGCCCCGGCTCCGTCGAGCGAAAGCATTCTGCCTCCGGTCGTTCCCCGAATACCCCCAGCGAGGAACGCGGTCGCAGACGCTCCACCCCTCTCCGATCATCGCCCAGCAACCCTCGCTCGCCTTCAGCAGTGGCGGCGCGTAGACACGCCTCCAACTCCAGGAATCGTGCTCCCCAGCCTCAGCCTAGTCTGCGGATGAAGAAGGGCCGCCCAGATCTGCGATCAGCCAGTGCGGGCGAGAGCCTACTGCTGCCTAGTCCGGGTGAGGCGGATGACCACGACAAGGAAAATCAGCAGGCGCAGCTGCGGCTGTATAGCAGCAGCGTCGCGCTGGTGAAGGCGGATCAGTCCGAGGAGATGGCCATAACGACGACTCTGGCATCCGGGGAGGTAATGACAAGCCCCAGTCCCAGTTCGTCTCCTAGTAAGAAGAAGTCGGCTCGCTACGAGTACATCCCGCCTGTGCCACCGCTCCCGAAGAACCTGTCTGCCACAGCGGCGAAGGTAGACCGGCGGCTGGCGAGGGAGATGGGCAAGAAGCGGGAGGCGCGGGATCGCGAAAAGGCGCAGGCACAGCCCCAGTCGCCGTTGGGACAGAAACTTGAGACTGTGGGAGCGGGCCAGCGGTCGGGCTCCGGCGGTGCTCACAGCTTCCAATGGCCGGAGGATTTCTTTTGATTCGCTTTTGAGGGATGGCTGTGAGGTTGCGGTGGAGTTGATGCCCTGTTGTCCGTGTTTTGTCTTGGTGTATTAACTGCTGGTCATTGCCATGCACCAGCACATGACATGCGCCTCTTGAGTCGACTTGACCATGAGAGACCCTTACTTCGTCTATTATGGCGATGGAGATAAGGGCTCGATAACCGTTTCCTATGTCCATCCCCTTACTCTTTAATGAATGTAACGACGTGATGACTGCTACCACTGAAAGAATACTCGAGTTTCTTCTTTGTCAATTGCCCTTGAAGAATACTACCATCGCTCAGCGCATAGCTAATCCGCTAAGCATGCACGTACCCCATTCAACTGTCCTGTCCCTAGCCCTGGAAGTCAAGGACAGACTCCCAGTTTACAAGATCGCCGTAGCATTAGCATGCGATCCAACACCACCTACACAACACACGAAATAGTTAGCCAACATCCTCCGCATCCCACATTCCCACCAAAGAACAACCCCTCCCCCCGCCCCCGCGGTCCACAAAACCAATCCCAAGATTACAAAAGGGGGCAACTCACCAAAAACCATCGCCGGCGCACTCGTCACAAACACCGTCCACCGGCCCACCTCCCGACACCGGCCCGCCAACCGTTCCAGATCCCACATTTCCCCGATCATCATCCCCCAACACGCCAGCAGCTCCTGATGCATGAACCCGCCCTGCCCCCCCTCCCGCGTGGGCGGCCAGCACTCAAACGTCGGCGAATCCCCCGCCACCGCCGCGAAGTAGCAGTCATGCAACCAGGTCAGCACGTCCTCGTCCTGCGCGAGCCCGGCCCAGCAGAGGTCCGCGTGCGAGCGGCGCGCCGCGGCGCGGCGCTGCGCGGGCGTGAGCGTGTGGTACTGCTCGACGAAGCCCGAGCGGATGAGCAGCAGGTCGCCCGGCTGGATGTCGCCGCCGCGGGATGTGGGGAGGGGGTTGATGCCTTGGGCGCGGGCGCAGGCGTGTAGGTCGGATAGGGTGATGGGGTGCGAGGTGTAGGGGTCGTAGGGGTTGTCGGGGTGCGTGGTCAGGTGGTAGTGTCGGTAGTCGAGGAGGATGGCGCGGGTGGCGAGGCCGTGCGTGCTGAGGTGGTGGATGCTGCATTTGTGGGGGTCGGGGTCGGTTGGGTGGAAGTCTGTGGATTTGGTCTTTGAGGAGGGTTAGTTTGAGGGCTTGTTGGGTGGATGGTCGGTTGGGGATGTGTATGGTGCAGTGCGTACCCCGTTGTAGAAGAGTTTGGTGTCTAGGTGCGCGAACTGGATTATCGGGTGGTCATCTGGTTAGCATATATGGGTGGATCATTGGATCGTAAGCCAATGGCTGCATGAGGAGGCCCAGTACGAAGAGAGAGCTGCGTAGCCTACATGGCGAAATCCGTCCCACTGGGTGCCACTCTGCGTGTTCAGGGTATACGTATCGTCGTAGACCACGTCCTCGACGAGCTCCTTGATCTGATGCTGGAAGGGCTCGCGGTCGAAGGCCGGGGTCTCGGGGATGTGCAATGGGAGACTGTTGCTGCATTAGCTTTCCTGCAACACAGAGCTAGGTCGTGGTACGCCCTCGGCGAGTAGAGGCAATAACCGCTTTTCGACAAAACTCACTCAAGTCGGATCATCTCCCCGAGCTTGATCTCCGCAGCTGCAGCTTTGACTCGAGCCGGCGTCAGCAGATTCAACCGTCCGAGCTACAGTATACAAGGTCAGCTAGGAACTCGAGATGCACAACAGTTCAACGTGAAAAGCAACAGTACCTGATCATCTTTCCCCCAGACCCATGCAGCATCCTTCGGCGCCCCAGGAATCTTAGGCAGTTCCTTGCGAGTGGGGAACCGCGTGCAATTCGGATCCCAAGGGAGCTGATCGGGAGCTTGGACCCGTTCAGAAGTACCCGTGGTAGACATGTCGGTAGCACGGTCTCCCGCAGCAGAGGTTGTTGGCGCAACGATCTCCGAGACCTTCTTCAGTCGTTCATGAACATACCCCATGGCTGCGGTAGGTGTTGTGTACAGTATATATAGCTTTCCCCGCTTGGTGGAATCGACTGACCGTGGCTCACAGTGGATTGAGTTTGTGGAACCGTCAAGACCTGAAGCCCCATTATACCCTCCGAATGGACTGCAACTGTCCCCATTTATGGGTGCGTCTGCTCCACATCACTGCTTCTTTCGGGTATGACGAGCCTTCTTGGCCGAGGCATATGGAAGGCTCGTGAGGGGGACATTGCCGAATGAACCCAACCTTCAGCCGGAGGAACACGAATAAGAATCGACCGTCCCCGCTGCGAAGCTTCAATAATACCAATCTTAAGATTAATGATGACGCATGGTGGGGGGAGAGAGTGAATCTTTGCCGTTGATGTCAAGGAGCATGGAAGGCCGGTGAGGGGAAGTTTGGCCGGAGTATCCGCGCATCTACAAGCGAAGGTACTGTACTCGTCACGAGACTACACAAGGAAATTGCTTGGTAGGCCAGAAGGCCTCCTTTTTCGGTCTTTTGATTTCATCATCAAGGATAATGTCTCGTAGTAGTATGATACAAAGATGGTCCACGCTCAATCATTGTCCGCACGTCATCCACAACAGAGACTGGAGCAGCCAACCGACAATATCCAGAACCTCAGACATTGACCCATGTGAGGTGACGATATCAAACATAATAGTAACAGACTCCACCACGTCCAGAAGATCGCTGCAATGAAGGTTCGAGACCTGCCCATGCTTGAGTAAGAACGCCAAATTTGACACCAGATGTAACAGTAGCCATCCCAGCACATAGTCACCAAATCCACCATAACCCATAAGGACCCCCATCACAATCGGAAGTCATGACCTTCTGCACGTCAAGACCATGTATGTATTCATTGGATGCTCCATCAGACGCCAGGGATATCAGGAGAAACAAAAAAAGTAGTCGTGGACGGGCATAAACCACTCCTCAGAGAAAAGAATAGCAACAATAATCGCTAAGCGCATGATACAAGAACTGCTGCTTGACAGTCATGAAAAGACAAAACCAAAGGGACGATTTAGATCTGCGTAGGCACTCCGGTGGACTGAGGAGCATTGCGACCACCACGGAGACCGCCACGGCCACGAGAGTTGTATCCACGACCATAACCTCCGCGGCCACGGCCATAGCCTCTTCCTCTGCCCCGGCCCCGATAGCTGCCCCGATAACCATCGACGCTGCCCTGACCAAACGTCTCGATGTTCCGCTTCTCCTCCTCACCGCGCCACTCACGGCCGCCGGCACGAGCACCAGTACCCTCTTCCCGATCGCGAGCCTCGCTCGAGATGTTGTCAAAGAAGGAGGTAGCCCGGTTGTACGAGTTGACGTTATCCGCGCTGGACTTATCGGTGTATTCGTCCTCGCCTTCAGGGAAAGCAGCCTCGGCTTCATGCACCGGAGAGCCAGTGGCAATAGCTTCCTTCACCAGATCCTGCTTGTTGAACTTGGCATTGGCGGTCTCGAAGTCGTAGTCGGTGTCAGGAACCTCAACCTTCTTCGCCTGGCCCTGATAAGGAGCGCGGTGACCACCACGTCCGCCTCGTGGGTGCGGATGACCGCCGCGAGGAGCCCGATTTCCTTCGTAAGGCTTCATTTCAGCGAGCTGCTTTGTCATGCCGTCCACAGACGCCTCGCCATGACCAGGAGCCTTCTGTGCACTGGGTTGAGGCAATTTAGCCATGGCAGCCGCGACAGCAGCAGTGGCAGCACGAGTGGCTTCAGTAATGGCCGCCTGAGCAGCAGTACCTTGCGACACATTGTTTCCCACATTAGCACCGGGGTAAGGGCCTACAGCTGGGACTGGCGGCTTAGAGTGCGTAGCAATCGGGATGGCCGGCTGCACACGTCCGCTCCTGGGTCCGGTGGGTGGTATCTTGGATGTAACCGGAAGCGCCGCCGCCGTCGCGGGAATACTGGAGGCTTGTACGGCTTCCATTACGGAAGGTTTCGATTCAACAGGGGGTGGAGGAGGGTTCTGACCAGCAGCAGGTGCAGGCGTGGCATTCCGGCTGGCGGGCTTACTGGAGGGCCGTTCACCAACGGGAAGCTCGGAGGTGGCTTTAGGAACGTTTACAGGGCCCGCACCAGGCGCCCCCTGACGCTGTGGCGGAGGGGTCTGGTGTTGACCAGGGGGTCCAATAGGCATCTGATGAGGGGGAAACTGGCCTGGTCCTTGAGGGAATCCTTGACCCGGGGGAGGGTACCATCCTGGGGGAGGAGCTCCGTACGGCATATTAGGGAATCCGGGCCCAGGAGGGAAACCAGGAGCCCCAAAGCGCTGCCCATAGGGAGGGTAGAAGCCCTGGAACTGAGGTTGCTGGGGATAGCCAGGAGCCGGACGAGGAGGTTGCTGTGCTTGGGAGTGAGGAGAAATGCCTTGAGGACCTGGACCAGGACGAGACATGCTCTACACCAATTGACACGTTAGTATTCTTGCATCATAGAGGAGTGTTTTCTTGTGCAAGGGCCAAGGGCAAGGTGTTTTGATCTTGTCAGAAGGAAGGCAACGGAAAAATCCACACGGTTTTGCGCTTTCAGAACAGGTCTGTGTTTACATCCGAAATATTTCATCATAAGATCGAGTGTCCAGAGGACACCAACACCAGAGGTGATGAGGGGGTGAGACGGGAGTGTGTTGAGCAAAACTTACCCCTAGGATGGCAGGATCATCAGGGACCTGAGGAGGTTCGGATGGTGCATTTTCCTTCTTGTCCTCCGCTACGCTAATGTCTTTTACGTCGCTGCCCCGGAAGACAATGTATTCATAAACACTGGCAGACGGGGCGATCTCCTCAGCTGGGTTGCCTCGACGGCCCTCAGTTCCAAAAGAGACGACATTCTCCAGAGCTATTGTGGAAGCTTCAGGGTTGATCTCATGCAAGGTTCCAACATAGCTAGCGGGGAGCTGTCAGTACGAACAGTCATTGCCAATGCTTGCGAGGGCAATGGATGCGAGCACGGAGCCGGAGCAGGAGAAGCTCCAGGAGATGGAAAGGTGGCACATACCGAATGTCACTCTTGGAGATCAGGTTGAACCGCTGACTGCCAGGTGTTAACTCCCGCCTAGCCGCACAAACCCTGGATCACACCAGTAGGTAGGCATAGAAGACTGACCCTATTAAATGGTTCATATCCATGCTGAGAGGGAGAGTTGCGCGATTGACGCGCAGGAAAAGAGAGAAAGGAACAAGGGGAAAAAGAGGGAGAAGTGAAGATATAGGAAAATTCGGGGAAGAGAGAGAAGGGCAGAGAAGTGAAAGGAAGAAGGAAGAGGAAAGGTCGAAAAACGGAAGAAGCCGGTTTTGTGGGTGGGAAAGGTTGGGGCTCCGGCGAGCGTGAGAAGCTCACCGCGCAGTTCCTTCGCCAGTTTTGCCCAAAAGGAACCACGTGAGGGCGGGGAAAGCAGCTGAAGCTTAGTCATGGTACCGTGGGTCGGCGATGATGATGATGATGGTGGCTAGCGATCGCATTCATCAAACTCAATTGATCACAACCCAGTGTTTTCCTCTTATCTGGTACCTGTCACAAGCTTCACAATGGCTCAATCAAGTCATCGCGATGACTTCTTTCAAACCACGTTCGTTTCCAACTCGCTGCCCAGCCGCAGTCCGCATGCCCCTCGCTGATTCCTTCCGGCTGCAGAGCTTCCCTTGATGAGCAAAAACGCAAGGATGCCAAGTCACAAAATACCAACGGAAACCCTATTCGGCTCCAGAGCAAGATTCTGGCTGTCGCTGCTGATCCCTTAAGCAACAACGCCGTCTTCGTGGCTCAGAGTGGTGGAACAGTGCGCAAGGTCGTACTCGAAGTAGGTGCATGGCACAGCCGTATTACGAGGACCGTGGCTAAACATGTGGTAGACCGGAGAAACCGCAGCCATCTACAAGGGCCCAACTGCACCGATTACGAGTCTATGCTTTTCGCCCAACGGCCGCCTATTGTTCGCTGGGTGCTGGGATAAGACCGTTTGGAGTTGGGATGTAACTACGAAGGAACGCCAGCTGCGCTATGAAGGCCACACGGACTTTGTCCGGTCCGTCATCAGCACGAGACTACGTGGACAAGATGTTCTGGTTTCGGGCGGCGCCGATGCGCAAATAATAGTGTCCGACATCGCGACTGGACAACGATTGGCCGTGCTGAAAGGCCACGCCAAGGGGATTCAAGATTTGGCCTTTGATCCCATCTCGCTGGACTCGGACAGCCCAGAGCCGATTGTGTTCAGTGCTGGAAGCGACAGAGAGATTCGACAATTCGACATCTCTAAGGGCAGCCAAGACCTAACCGGTACCGCTGCAATCCTGGCTCACGAGACCAACGTGCATAAACTGTTCTTCGACCAGGATGCCGATCTATGGACTGCGTCAGCCGACAAGACTACCAAGTGCTTGAGTCGAGACGACGGCTGGAAGCCCAACACAACCCTGGACCATCCCGACTATGTGCGTGATGTGGTGGTTTACGAGCAAGGTGGGTGGGTGGTCACAGCGTGCCGTGATGAAGAGGTCCGCGTGTGGAATCGATCGGTATGTCTCTATTTCCAGAGATTGCTGCGTTGGCTCGACTAATGCTTACCCAAATGAGACAGACCGGGCAACTCTACCATACCTTCTCTGGACATTACGAAGAAGTGACAGGACTAGTACTGGTGGGTACCACAGTCGTCAGTGTCAGTATAGATGCTACTATCCGACAGTGGTCTCTGAAGCCCGATGAGCTTCAGACGGCAGTAGCCATGGCACAAAAGACCTCGACCGAGGATGAAGAGCAGCCCACCAACCCCGGGTCGATGCTTACCGAAGAGGAGGAGCGGGAGCTTGCCGAGCTGATGGGCGAGGATTGAGACTACTCTATGAGACTACTCCAAGAATGACCGTCACGACTAAACTTCCAAGCGATATGATTAATGGACTGATATCGAGTAAAGTAGTGTACTGTACCGTAGTCAGTAGAATCAGCCGTAGCGTACAGTCCCAGGTCAAATGCCGAGGTGTAACCACCGTCCACGTGACCATGCAGGGGCGAGTCCATGACGCACGGGCGACGATCTCCCGGATGCGGGCCAGGCGGACTAGTGATGTTACTAACTGACTAGTAACGCGGGCACATGCGTTTCCTCCCTCGTCCCCCTCTCCCCTCATCCCGCTCCTTGCCTGTCTGTCTGCCGAATCACTCCGTTTACATTTACTCTTCGATCGATCGCTGGATATTGCTTGGTCTCTGGATCAGATCGCTTGCAGCTGGTTTGTCACTCACTTTTCTTATCCCCCGCTAGTTCCCTGCCATCTGTTAGCCTGCTACAACGGCCAAGTGGTGATATCTTATCGGCTGCCTGGAGCTGCTTTCTAACACGAGCGCATCGCAAGCAGGCTGCCTGTCTAGTGCGAGATCTTGACAAACTATTGACTGGTGAAAGGTCTAGTCCCACGTGAATGTCTTACGGCCTCAACATGGCTGCCCCGTCAGGCATGCACCATAATCTGGCCGACGCAGGGCCGAAGCTCGTCAATCGACTGCGGGACAGCAAATCACCTTACGTCCGTCAAATACCCGCAAATCGAACCCGTCTGTCCTCACTGACGCATTAATAGGTGCGGGCGCATATGAACAATCCAGTAGCATGGCAGCTTTGGGACACAGAAGCCATCGAGTTGGCCAGACGCCACAACCGGTTGATCTTTCTGAGCGTCGGGTATTCGGCATGTCACTGTAAGCCCTGTCTCTCGCTTCAAGACTTTGTCACATTGATCTTCGGAAATAAATAACCCGCATTAGGGTGTCATGTTATGGAAAGAGAGTCTTTCATGTCCCACGAAGTGGCTTCAGTGCTGAACGAGTCGTTCATCCCAATCAAGGTGGACAGAGAGGAGCGACCCGATGTCGACGATGTCTACATGAACTATGTCCAGGCAACCACCGGGTCAGGCGGCTGGCCCTTGAATGTTTTCCTTACTCCGGATCTTGAACCTGTTTTTGGCGGGACATACTGGCCCGGCCCCAACTCCTCCACCCTGACAGGAAACGAGACGATCGGATTTGTCGAAATCCTTGAAAAGCTCCGGGATGTCTGGCAGACGCAACAGCAGAGGTGCCTCGAGAGTGCGAAGGAAATCACCAAACAGCTCCGGGAATTCGCTGAGGAGGGCACACATTCTTACCAAGGCGATCGACAAGCGGATGAAGACCTGGACATTGAGCTGTTGGAGGAGGCCTATCAGCATTTCGTTTCCCGATACGATCCTGTACATGGAGGATTTTCCACGGCTCCTAAATTCCCCACACCTTCTAACTTGGCCTTTTTGCTGCGTCTGGGAATCTATCCAACTGCGGTGTCGGACATTGTCGGGAAGGACGAGTGTGAGCGGGCGACCGCCATGGCAGTCAATACACTTATTAGCATGGCGCGTGGAGGAATTCGAGACCATATCGGGCATGGCTTTGCGCGGTATAGTGTTACCCCCAACTGGGGATTACCTCACTTCGAGAAGATGCTGTACGACCAAGCACAGCTTTTGGACGTCTATGTAGACGCGTTCAAGATCACTCATAATCCTGAGTTACTGGGGGCTGTGTACGACCTGGTCAGCTACCTCACATCGGCTCCGATCCAGTCACCAGCAGGCGCTTTCCACTCCTCTGAAGACGCGGACAGTCTCCCGACGCCTAATGACACCGAGAAGCGTGAAGGCGCATTTTATGTTTGGACGTTGAAAGAGCTGACTCAGGTACTCGGTCAGCGAGATGCTGGGGTCTGTGCTCGTCACTGGGGCGTTCTGCCCGATGGCAACATCCCGCCCGAGAACGACCCGCATGATGAATTCATGAACCAGAATGTGCTAGCAGTCAAAGTGACACCTAGCAAATTGGCCAAGGAGTTTGGTCTCGGCGAAGACGAGGTGGTCAGGATTATCAAGTCTGCAAAGCAGAAGCTGTGCGACTACAGGGAGAGGACTCGCGTACGTCCGGACTTGGACGACAAGGTCATTGTTGCCTGGAACGGACTTGCCATCGGGGCACTCGCCAAGTGCAGTGCACTATTCGAAGAAATCGAAAACACGAAGGCAGCGCAGTGCAGGGAGGCTGCAGCCAAGGCAATCAACTTCATCAAGGAAAACCTGTTCGACAAGTCGACGGGGCAGCTATGGCGCATCTACCGCGACGGAGCTCGGGGGACCACCCCTGGCTTCGCTGATGACTATGCATACCTGATAAGTGGACTGTTGGATATGTACGAGGCGACTTTCGACGACAGCTTCTTGCAATTCGCCGACCAATTGCAGAGTGAGTGCCTAGTAAGTGTTGAAAATAACCTGGCTCGCTAACACATCATTTCAAAGAGTATCTCAGCGACAACTTCCTCGCATACGTTGGCTCCACACCCGCAGGTTACTATAGCACCCCTTCAACCATGACACCAGGCACGCCGGGCCCTCTCCTACGCTTGAAAACCGGGACCGAGTCAGCTACACCATCCATCAACGGCGTCATTGCGCGCAATCTGCTGCGTCTCGCAAGTCTCTTCGAGGAGGAGGGATATCGTACCCTAGCCCGACAGACCTGCCGCTCGTTCTCAGTAGAGATTCTGCAGCACCCGTTCCTATTCGTGGGACTCCTAGACGCCATCGTCGGTTTGGAGACGGGAACGCGGAACATCACGGGTGTATTCAGCACAGCAGCCATCCCGCCGGGGCCAAGCAGCAGCAGCAGCAGCTCACAACAAGCATCATCTAACGACACCACCACCACCAGCCGCGCCGAGGAACCGATTGCCGCCCGCGATCTCCTGGTAAAGAAGCTCCGCGCCGAGGCCGGCCCGACGTTATCGACGGCGACCACGACCGTCTCACTTGTGGATATCCGACCCTCTCATCTAGGAGATTTTGTGGGAAACCAGTCTTTCTGGCTGCGGACGCGCAACCCCCTGTACAAAGAGTTGCGGCCGTCCCACCCGGCCAAGAATCATCTCATGGTCTGCGAGACGGGCCGCTGCACGATAGTAGACCTTTGACCCATAGTCTCTCTCTCTCCATTGAACAAAGGATAAATAACAAAGGAACATCTTTTTCTTCCTCTTTTCATCTGTTTTTTTCTGGGAAGGTTAAGCTTGCACTTTTTCGTGAAATCACTGCTGAGGACAAGGCTGTACATTCCGTGGAATCATCCTGTGGAATCAAGGTGTTTGTTGATAATTTAGTCTAGTCTATGTCATTAGCGCTGCTCGGGCCCAAGTTGAGATTTCTCCCGGCGTTCAATCAAAACACCCACTCGACACACCGCCCAATTACCGCTCGTCGCTCTGTCGAGAGGTCATGCTACTACCTACCGTACTGTAGGTATCAAACGCGAGAATCCACTTTCATAGATACTCAAGCCAATGGGAAGCTTTCCGGTGCGCCCGCGTCGAACGCGACGTGGGGAGCTTCGGAGGCGAGGGGGACAGGATCTAATCAGATCGGATCAGGGATGATGCCCAACGAATTTGTGTCGGCTAGATGGAGTGGCTTGGAATTGGGGTAGTGTCAGGTCATCTAGCCTAGAGGTAGATCTAAACTCTGTGCCATACGGGAGGTTTACCTGTCTCAATTCATAGCCCAGGACTTCGTTCGCAGGTTTGCCAGGAATGGACCCCTCTTTCCTGATACTCGCATCATGTATCATAAATCATCAGTTCAACAGGACCTCACGCTATTCGCTATGTACAACTCCGAGAACTGAACAAGAAAATAGAACCCGGGACAAAAGTCAAGCCCCTTGGAGGTTATAAAACAGCATTCCTCCCTATATAGCCACTGCAATCCACAAACTGCGTATCAAAGGTCATATCAAGCCTCAGAACACAAAGCCTGCCGTGTGCTAGTCGTCTAGCGTAATCACAAAACAGCAGTATTCATATATTACATAAGAGCATCAGTCATTTCACAGGATCTTATCGTCGAATCCGAGACCATAGTCCACTTGCGAGAGCGGATTTCAAGTTGTGTGAATAGTATATGTCAATGCGAGGAAAGATCTCACATGACCACGCAGTCCTTATTCCGGTCTTTGGCGCGCTCTGCAGACCCCGCTGAGATGGAGTTTCCATAGGGTCGCCTTCCAGCCGTGGTTCGTGGGTAAGGCATTTCCGTGGAGTTAACAGCGCTTCGTTGAGGCGCTGGATAAATTGGGCTACTGGCGGCCTGCTCGTATGAAGGTGGCGGGACTTCATCGTCGTGCACAGGACGATGAGTGGTCAAGCGTGTCTGCGAGCGTCGTCCCGAGCCCTGACTTTGTCGCGACGGCTGGCTTCGTGCAGCTGCCGCGTACGAGCCTCCGCTGCCAGTGTTGCTGACGTTGACACCACTGGATGAGCGATCGTGAGCATAGGCTGACTCCCGGGATACACCAGTGGAGGCGTTGGACATGGAGGCGCGATGGGTCGGATTTCTGTCATTGCTAGCAGTGCTTTCTCTCTGTTCCTCTTCCTGATACTGCAGGGACAGGGCGTAAGCGTAGTCAGCGTCCGCCTGTTCCTGAGGAGTGAGATTGGCACTTTGTCGTTCCGGAGGCACTGGTAGAGAGTCTCTCGGATTGCTTGAGGTTCGTGGACCGGAGGGATCAGACGCCCTAGGAGCATCATGGCTGACAGGGCGGAAGTCTCCGGCATAGTAGCTGGTATTTGACCCATTTACGTCAACGAGGCTCTCCCACACGACTTCCGCATGAGAGGCATAGCCGGCGTCGGTGACTAGTGTGAATAACCGACTGAGCTGCGGGTGTTTGTAGAGTGTTGTGAAATGGTCATTGCGGAATAAAATGGACAGTGACCCCGGCTGCAACTTTGCCAGCAATTGATCGAGGCCGAAAGGACTCAGTTGAGTTGCATTTTCCACATCGGTAAACCCGTGGATGGTGTGTATATCTTGCAT